TCCTTATAAGGACCTCCACCATATGGTCCCAGTGGCACGTTCTCTCCTAGTTTTCCACAGGAGTAAGGGGTTTTCTGTCGAGGACAGGTCAGCAGCAGCGGACACTGGTGACAGGAAGTTGTTGCTTTTTCTCAGCTGAATAGAGTCGTTTCATTAGGCGACTTTCTGGCCTCTCCCTGCAAATGAGATGGCCGCCTCGTCATATCTGCTGTGATCAAATCGTCCTTTAAAATGCGGAAGATAAATTTAAGTTGAGATTGTTGAAAAACCCCCTTTTGTCCCTTTTCTACAGTATCTCCGCGCCACATTGTAGTCCGAACAGACCTCCTTTGCTCTCCTCATTCCCAGCATGACCAATGGTTCCCCCAGGACTCATCCTCTAATACAGTTAAACAGATGTCTAATGAAGATGTTATTTCCTCATTACTGGCTACGGGATGGGGATGAAGAGGAGGAGGAGGAAGGGGGGAGTAGATAGACAGCAGAATGCAGTTCCAGTTTAATATTCGTCTCGCCCGTGGGCCTGAGATTGTGTCTGTCTCGGACGTCAATATTCCGTTCCTCACCCACCACAGGCAGCCTTAATAAGGCGCCAGGCGCAGAGACAGATCAGACTCGGCAATTACGATTCACCCAGAATTAGTTAATGGAATCTATACAGCAACATTTACGTATCACTGGTCTCTGCTTAATGACTTTGTTGGAGAAAGCAGCAAGAAAAATGGCATTCAGGGAATTGCATAAACATTGCATTTTTCTGTAAATAGTTTTTTTTTCCTCCCTCTTCCTGTAATTTGTGTGTGTGTGTGTGGGGTGGAGATTAAGATGACATTCGGGGAGAAATTGTCATGTCAGTGCCGGTATTGTTTGAGCAAAATTGTGGTGATTAATTTTACGCACACTTGTAGCACTGCAGCGCTCCCCTGGAAGGAGGGGTGGGTGAGCAGCAGAGCACGGGACCCTTGGTTATTGTTCCATGTGTGTGGAGGCAGGCGGGCTCGGATCTGCAGCTCGGGATGAGGCAGGGAAGACTGGTGATTGGCTGAGAAATTAGATGAGAGGATAAAGCACTTTGGAGTCCTCTGACTTAGAAAAGCGCAATACAAGTGCGAGACAATTATTATTTGGCTATATATATATATATATATATATATATATGTTATGAAATGTAAAACGTTAAAAAACTGAGCTTTTAGTTGAAATAGGCTACTATTCAACATGAGATCAGATTGGTGAATGGCCACGCTGAAATTCAAGAATCATGAATCTTTTCTTGACGTTGTACCAACGTCCCAGCACAATGAAATTACAGTTTCAGAACAACCCATCCCAAGATTTGACGTACAGTAACACAAACAAGACACAACATAACAGAATCAGTGGGTATGCGCGCACCTCGCACTCCCAGATGCAGTTAGACAAGGAGTAACACGAGGAAAGTATGGGGAGGAGGGAGAAAAAGGCATCCCAGAGTTTCTCCTAACATGGGGTAGCTAAAAACACAAAGTCAATTTGACTTTTTTTTATTTTTCTGGTTTATTCAGCAGAAATTTACAAAAAAAATCTGAATTTATTTTACAGAGAATTTGTTTATTTTGTGAACGCACCTTTGCTAGTCACAAATTCAGGCTAGCAGCAACAGATCTTCCATGTGGAAGATTTAACTTCCATAATTTAAATGATAGAATTTATTGTTTTAGTTATTGTTCTTTGACACAATCTGAAAATGGAAAAAACTGGTATTGGTAGGTCAAAGCTGCTCGAATCAGAAATCGGTATTGGCCCTTGAAGCCAGAATCAGTGCGTCTTTAAAAATAATATATTTGAAGATGTGAAGTCATCACTGAATTATCTCATCATTAGAAGTTACAGTGAGTCGTTTTGGTTTAAACTCTGATGATGACTGTGTGGCACTTTAACCGAATCATGAAATCAAGACAGAAACAAAAGGATTTGTGTGATTTAGACCCTTATTGTTTCACCTGATGCCGTAAAACAAACACAAAACCTGATATTTCACACAGCCGGGACACCAAATTGTCCTTAAAATTAATTTTTCCTGTGAATAAAGTTCATGTATTAAATGTTTCATCCGATTTGTTTGATGGATTTTTTTTATTCCACATTTAGTTCTTGCAAAGTTCTGCTTCTATTTAAAATTTCCAGTTCATATAAAAGTTATTTTGGTCTTTTTATTTGTTGTTGTTGGGAGTTTTTGTAAGAACTGGAGTGCAAAGAAAATATATTCATGACACAATTAGTGGTTTAGTAACGCTGCTCAGTCGGAGCCGTATACCAACAGGCTGACACTTTGTAGTTTCTGATTTACCGTTTGATTTCCTGACATGCGCCACCATTTAAATGCTTGTGTATCAATTGCTGCTTGGCTTTGAAACTTCAAAGCAGCACATCAGACACTTACCCCTCGTATAATAGCTGCTAAGTACCTGGCTGGTGTCCTGGCCAGAGGGGGAGCCCTGGGGTGTGAGCGAGGGCCAGCTGGAAACCCCCTCCTCGGCCTGAGCGGGCCTCCCTCCTCTCTCGGGTTTTCTGCCCTCTTCAGGAATGTGTGATTGCGTTCCAGCGCTGGCCCCCGAACCGGCGTTCTGTTAGAGAGCAGCGCAGCTCTGATCTGCTGCAGCACAGCTGTGGTATTGTCTACTCCTCTGGGTGGTGGGTGACCATTGTAAAGCCGTGCAGAGCGCTGGTGTCTGCTTTTTGTGTGCCGTTATTCAGCACTGACTGATGCAGGCGCCGTGCTATAGAGCCGAGGCTCGAGTTGTTATATCAGAGTGATGTTTTTGTGCCCTTGAAGGGGAATAAGTGGCTTTTTAAATTTCTAATCTTCATTTAATTGATTTTCTCCTTTTCTGGTTTTAAAACTGATTTTTTTTTCTTTTTGAGTCTTTTGCTTTATTTCTGCTCGGTAGTTGTCATTAATTATCTGGGCGATGATGCAGGCTTTCTTCTCCTGCGGACATTTCAGCATCCCGCCCAGCGTTGAGTGGCGAGGACGGGGGAACATGGCCACACTGGTGTCAGAGAGTGTCCCGCTTTTATCTGGGAGCGCTGGGAGCAGTCAGCCCGGAGAATGCCTGGGACCCAGGTGGTCCCGCTCAGACAGACGGGTCATTTAAAGGCTACTGTGTACGCACACGGCTGGCCTCCACGTGACTGACAAGCTCTAACAGAGAGAGTTGTCATTCGCATCAGAGAGAGAGAGAGCGAGAGAGAGAGTTTAGTGTAATAACCACCTTGGTGGACCCCCCATGACTATCCTGCGCCCCCACCCCCCACTAAGTGAACGAGCTCTGGGTTAATTGTCATGCAGTGAGTTAAAATTATGGGTGCGGGAGGTCCCGGCACCTCAACAACACCCCCTCACACTCGCCCACCCCGCCCTCCATCGTCTCCTCGCCTCATCCTTCCTGCAAGTTACAGCTAATTCCTGGAGCGGTGCAGCAGGAAAGACGCTGCTATCTTTTATTAAGACCCACTACTACACCCCCCCTTTACACACACACACACACACACACACCCTTCCTGTTTAAGTGCACACACTCTCACGTTTTACCGTACAGCCTCGCTCACCAGAGGAAGCACGGAGGGGAGAGGGCGGGAGGGAGAAGAAAACCCAGGGAAATAAATGGGAAGTAGTCAGCAGGCTTGAGTTTTTTTTCTGTCTTCTACCCTTCTCTCGCTCTCCCTTTCCCCCCCTCATTTTTTTCCCTGATTTACCGCGCTTTCCTCAGAAAGCTCCATTGTTCCCCTAGCCTAAGTCTCATCAGGCCTTTTGTGGCCGACTATCACAGCGGCAGGCAGAGAGCTGGAAATGTATAAATGGTATCATGCCTTGTGATTAATGGCGGTGCTTATGAGTCAGGTCTGATAACGGGCCTGCTCTCTACTCAATTTCAGATACCGTTAATGGAATCTGTCTTCTGCGATTGTAATGTGAGAGCGCCTAATTTGCTATGGAGCTTGAAGCTGTCACCGGCAAGGGATTGTGGGGTCATAAGGGACCTGGCAGCCGTTTGGCCTGCAGCTTGTATCTGCCGTGCTGAATAGAGCAGCTCTCTGCCTGTCAGTTAGCTGATAGGCTGATGAGGACTCTAAGCCACTCCACACAATGGTGGAAAGGGCCGTACTGCCTGACTTCCCTAATTGTCAAGGCTGCTCATATTTCAGAGCCAGCGTGCTGGGGACCGGGTTGCTTCTTTTTTTCTTCTTCTTTTCTCTTTTTTCCTTTATGAACTTTTTTCTTTCACTTCCTCTATTTCATCCTGCATCATCCTGCACGCTGTCTCGCGCCTTTAATGCACACTTTATTTTTTCTCTTACCCCCCCACCCCCACCTCTGTCTCTCATTTTAGTAAGTGGTAGGTCTTAGCGTATGGCAGATTATCCCAAGTTTGCTACTTCAATTACTGCAGAGGAGATGGAAACAGTGCAGGAGAGGAGAAGAGGAAAACTTTTGTGCACACATTATATTTAAGAAGCGGAGGATAAAGCGCTATCTGAACCGCCGTGGTTTCTGCGGCGGCCGGCTCCAGATCAACCTAGCTGTCTTGATATCTGAATTACCCCAAATCACAGAGAGTGTTTTTTTTTTTCCCGAGGTCTTGTCCAAGAAGAAACTCGGGCAGAGGGAAGATTATAACGGGCCTTCGAAATGAATCTGAGGGAAGAAGCTGCATTTTTTTGTATTATTCTGTGATATTGCTGATTTTTGTGTCTCAGGCAATTTAACCTAAATAAAATACTAGAAAAAGATACTGAAGTTTTTTAACTTCACTTGAAGCAAATTAGTCCAGATATTTCATTTTTTGGGGTGTAAACTTTTGCGATTTCGGAAACAACAAAAGCACCAAAACCTGCTTGTCGTTGGGTGATTGTATCATGATTCAATAATATCATTTTTTTTGTTCATATATTTAAAAAAAATGACATTTTCCCTGCATAATGTGTAACAATCAACATTTTCTTCTCTGCGCTCCCAGGATGACAGGTCCTGGACCAGGAGCGGTCCTGGCTGCAGGACTCTTCGCTGTGTCCCGGCTGAGCTGGCAGTGGTCCATGGTGGCAGAAGTCTTCTCCCTCAACAACCTCTTCATTGGACTTCTCTTCTTCTTGACTAGCAGCTTTCAGTGTGCTGAAAACTCCACGCAGAGGAGAAAGGTAGCAGCACACCCAACTTCCTGTGGACCTCGAGCCTTTCCTCTGGCTCAGACGTTAAACTCACGTAGTGATGGTGGCTTTCAGATTGCACGTTGGGGAGCGTTATGTTGTGGCTTGGGCCTCTGTAACCAGCACACACTGGTTCTGTACGTGATGGTCATCATTCCTTGGATCTTTTATCGACTTTATACTCTAAAGGTGTGTTTTTGGGCCTCTAAATATCCCTGTGCTGCGGTTTCCCTAAATCAAATAGACAAATTAGTAATGAGAGCTTCTTTATCGTTCCAATAAAACAGGAGCTGTCTTTTGTGGGCCTCATTTCTCTGGGATTGAGTTTCCTTACTGGTTTTCTGCCATACCTCTACCTGCCAGTCTCATCCTACCTCAACGCTGCACGCTGGAGCTGGGGGGACCAGACCACCCTGTCGGGTCTGCTGAACCACCTGCTGAGGACTGAGTACGGCACCTTCAGCCTGGTAAATGCTGGCTGTTGTTGAAGAGTTTCATTTAGTTTCTCTTTTATTTTCTAACTTGTACTTTTTTATGTTTTGCAGGCTAAAACAGAAACCTCTGTGAGTCTGAGCTCGATGCTACAGTGAGTTTTGCAACTTTTTCATAGGATAGATTCTAATTTTGCATTTACTGCACGTCTCGTTGGTACAGTAAGGCTCTCCTTATAGGTTTCTAGGGATGTTAGTAATAATCGGTGATACTTTACAAACCAATAAGTGTTTTTTTATTCTTTCATTAAGGGCGAGAAAGAGAGAAAACTGACTGGCTTCTTGCTAAATAATGAGCCAGATCTGCTGACCAATAATTAGTCCATAAATGTACAGAACAGTTGTGTGATTCTATCTAATTAGTTGGTTTTTCTGCTCTGAATTCACTGGTTTTAAGTTCTTCTCAGTATTTTCGACTTCGATGGAGTGAAAAAGCCAAAGTGGGGGAGTTTTGATCTCACTTATGGGTCTGGAGATGATGAAGGACCCAGTTCCTCTTTATGGTGCTTTACACCGGTTTAAAAGCAGACACGCCGATCTCCTTTGAGAGCCAGGAGTCATTTCTGCGTCCCATCTCTTCCCGTCTTCTCTCCCAGCAGCTTTTGTTCTTCCCGTTCCACGTTTTCCCATCAAAGAGGAACTGAACCTGCTTAGAGGGGCCAAATCGCTGTGTTCTGTTTCTCCAGCAGTTTGAACTGATCACTCAGCTCTGGTGTTTGAGCGTGACAAGCTGTGATGACAGACACTGCAACAGAGCTGGAGAAATAGTATTTTCCCATTCTGCCCCCCCCCCCCCCCCCCCCACACACACACACACACACACGCACACGAACACTCATACACATGCACACACTCCTTCCTCAAGTAGATTCCCTCCCTTTGCTCTCTGCTTCCACCACAGTCATCCCACTGCTGGTATCTTTCTCCAAATGATAGGACGGATTGTGTGTGTGTGTGTGTGTGTGGGGCATGTTCATCATAAGACCCCCCACTTCCAGACCCCCCTCCGACTGGCGCCCACCCCTTCGCTTCAACCCCGCTGCTTGACGGACAAGCACACCTTCAAAAATGGAGAGGGTGAACATGACAGGCATGTCGCTCTGGAGACGTAAAACCCACTGGAGAAGCTGCCCCCCCCCCCCCCCCCCCCCCCCCACACACACACACACACACACACACACACAGAGTGTACATTGGGAGATATAGAGACTCAATAAGCTGTCAAATTGAGATGGGTATTAAGGAAGAGGCAGGAAACTATCTCTGCTCCGAGCTGGCGCCTTGTGAATGACAGGCGCTGTGAGGAGCGGACGGGGCTGCTGGGGGTGGATGACACAGTCGTTCGGATCTGTCAGTCCCGCTGAAAGGAGTCCATGGAGTTTGTTTTGATAGGGGTGGAAAGCGTTTGACAAGCGCTGCCCTTGACTTCGTCATCATGAAGGTTAATTGAGTTTTGTTTTTGATGACTGTGCGTTTGTGCAGGGCTCAGCTGGACCACTGCCTGCTAGAACTTTCTCCTCCCGCGCTGGTTCTGGCAGGAGCAGGCCTTCTCCTTTCCACGCAGGACAGGTAGTAAAGACGCCAACACACAAAACTCTGTCACACACATCTCAGCAGCCACTTCAACCCAAAATAATAATAAAAAAAATATCTAATCCCCCCCGAAGTGAAAGACGGCGAACAAAAACCAGTGACATAATGCTGATCCTGGAAAACGAGAACACAAAACAACACCGAGGCACCTAGCTGTCAAGCTGTCACGACGTTCTGCATTCAGATCAAGAGGGGCTGATGTTTATTTTGGATTTTTCACAAACATGTTTGTGTGTGATTGCATGTGGCAGTGTGATCCGCTAATTCTTCACAGTGGTGGCTTTGCTGGGGTCTGCTGAGGGGGTGCTGATAAAGCCTGGTGCTGCCTCCCAGCTCTGCAGGGCACCCATTTAGCCAACTCCCTTCAAAATAAAAGCATGGTCACTCCACCCAGTGCCACAAGGAAACAGTTTATTTTGTTAAAAAATATATATAATATATGATTTAAAATGCAGTGTGTATGTGTGTGTGTGTGTGTGTGTGTGTGTGTGTGTGTGTGTGTGTGTGTGTGTGTGTGTGTGTGTGTGTGTGTGTGTGTGTGTGTGTGTGTGTGTGTGTGTGTCCAGCTGACAGTGGGAAGGTTTTCAGACTCCAAAGTGTCTCCTCAGGATCAGATGACTTGTTTTTGCCACAAGGGCTAAATTTCCTTCTAGTCCATAAGAGTGTTTTACAGCTGTGCTGTAATGAGTTTGTGATTCAGCAGCTGGCAGCAGCTCATTATGACTCAGTCAGTATTAAAAAAATCAATCATGCACCTCTAAGCACAAACATTTCTCTCAGAGACTTCTCTAGCCGTACTCCCATTATTTCATAGATTTTCCTCAAAATAGGAATGAATCATCACATTACAAAGATCACAATGAGAGTATAGAAATAGTTTTCAATAGTAATATTGATTAATTTGGGAATAAAATGAGCTAACTGTTGATTCTTTTAGGAGATGTAGCTCAGTGACCTGGCTGTTGACTGTCATGCTGCTGGTTTATTCTCTGTTCTTTGCCTGGAGAGCCAACCTGGACATCAGCAGACCGCTGCTGCTCGGAGTGGTGAGTAACGGGACCGGAACGCGACTATCCGGATAAGATTCATTATTTTATAAAGATCTTCTTTGAGTTTTCCTTGTCTTGGAAAAAATGTTCAGACCACAAAAAGTGCCATGCTTTTGTCTCTTTAGGAGAGGTAAAAGTTTTATTTATTTATTTTGACCAGATTATATAATGATGTGTGTCTATGAAAGGGGATTAGGGCCACAGAAAAGAAAATTCTGAGATTAAAGTCAGAATTAAGAGATTAAAATCAGAATTCTGAAATTAGAGACAGAATTCTGAGATTAAAGTAATAATTGTGAGGAAAAAAGTCAGATTTGTGGGATTGAAGTCGAAATTAAGAGATTAAAAGTCAGAGTTTTGAGATTAAAGTCAGTATTCTGAGATTAAAGCCAGATTTCTGAAATTAAAGTCATTGTGAGGGAAAAAAAAGTGAGGATTATGAGATTAATATCAGAATTTTGAGATTAAAGGCAGAATTATGTGATTTAAGTCAGGATTGAGAGCTTAAAGTCAGAATTGTGAGATTGATGTCATAATTTAGAGATTAAAGTCAAAACTCTGAAAGTCAAAATTCCAAAAAAAAAACCTCTGAATTCCTTTTCTTTTCCTTCTCTTCTAGGGGCACCAGGCCCTAATCCCCTTTTGTGGTCAGTCTGCTGGAAGCACGTGGCCAAATAAAGGTTATTCAAAACACTTAAAGGTGTGTGTTTCTGGACTTTCTGCAGGTCGAGCGTTTTTGGCTGCAGAGTGACGCTGTGGTGTGTGTTCTGGCTGGCCTTGGGGTGAGCTGCTGTCACACCAAGCTGGAGCAGAGGTTTGGACGTGGCGGTGTGTGGAGCACCATCAGCTGGGTCTTTACTTTAGCTCTTCTAGCACGTATGGTGCACACCAACCAAAGGTGAGCAAGAAACTCAACCGCTAACTTGCTGATTTGTAAATATTTGACACGGTCAAATGAAGCTATAACAAGGAAATGAATGAGATTAGGTCTTATTTGTTGTTTTGCAAAGTAAAGCAAAGTCAGCACTAAAAAGTTCTCATTTTCCCTTTCCTTTTTCATAAATTTGTATTTAAATGCTCTTATTTTGTTACGGGGGAGACTTAAATTCTTTTGTGACGTTCAAATTTGCAGACAATTACAGAAGTAATTTTACAGCGGCAAAGATTTTGATCACAGCAGACATAATTATGGCGGCTGCATTGTGTTGCACTTCCACAGGCTATTAGTCATTCCAGGCTGTAATAATGTTTTTGTGGCCGGCTTTTCTCTACACCATCTTTGAGCATTTATCTGTGAGTTTAACCGTCCTCCTGCTGCAGAAATGATATCAAGCCCAAATGAAAATAAAGTTAAATGTGCCTTTTTATAAAAGTTTAGGTGAAATAGAAACTCCCTTGTTTTTGTTTCATCTAAAATCCCATGTGGACTTTTTAAACCTGATTGGTTTTTTTCCAGTTTGAACTCCACGTGTCAGGTTTTCTCTGCTTGCCCCGTGGTTAGGGCTGAACAGAGGCACGGTTAGCACATAGATTCCACTCACAGAGCTCAGCCTGAGATGGTAGCTGTCCGAGAAGACAGATTACACCAGCGCAGCACCGGGGAGTGCCAGGCAGCCATCACCGAGCGCCTTTGATCAGGGGGAGAGCATGGCCTGTGCTGTCAGACCAATCATACCTGTCTCCCTACGATTAGATAGGCAGCTGTGTGGAGGGGAAGGGGCGGGGGCACTGACAACTTACCCTTGAAAGCCCACTTACAAACACGCCTGAACGCGTCAAGGGTGCACTCAGCTGGTGCTAAATAACACGCGCTTTGATGATATTTTATTTCAGAAGTTGTGATCAGAGCAGCAACAGCGTGGTGGAGAAGTTCGGCAGGGAGCTCCTGGCCTCCGTCCCAAAAGACTCTCTCATCCTGACCAGAGGGGACCTGCCGGGAAACTCTCTGCGTTATTTACACTACTGCCAGGGCCTACGGGCTGACGTCCGCCTGGTCGACCAGGAGGTCGGCACCGTCGTTCTGTTTCACTCTTCTCTCTGCATTATTCTAAGCCAAGACACGTAAACTGCAAGTTTTACAAGCGTCCAATTAGAAATGAAAGAATTGGAATCATACATGTTCATTTATGGGAAATATTTTTATTTCTGTCCTCCAAAAATACTCTCATTTCACTTTTTGGTCTGCTTGTCCTACCCAGTTAAAGGGTAAAGGTGCAGGTTTGTGGACAGGTTAAAGCAATGAATACCTCGCCTAATGCAGGTCGCTTTTGGAGAAACAGAGATTAATTCAGCTCAAACCGATGAGCTAACAGTTAGTCACAATCTGGCTGTTTATAAAGCGTCAATTGCTGTTTTGTAACTTCTAATTTGCTATAAATTGTTAGGAAGTTCCAGGCAAACGTGCTACAACTGTTAGCACCACAGCTATTAGCACTACAGCTGTTAGCACTACAGCTGTTAGCACTACAGCTATTGCACTATAGCTGTCAGCACTACAGCAATTACACTATAGCTGCTAGCACTGCAGCTGTTAGCGCTACGGCTAATACTTTGCTAGTTGAAATAACTAGTAAAGGTCAAAAGGTTGGTTAAAAAATAATAAAATAAGTTTTTCACAAGATTAGAGATGCTTTTAGATCTTTTTAACAGACCTGTCATTTTCTCTGTGTGGTCAAACTCATCTGTGTTTCTCCTAACTAAGGTTGTTTAAGGAGCTAATTACAGCATATTATTTGATTATGAAAATTTTCTAGTAAAACTAGATTTCTAGAGAAGTGATTGAAAGAAAAAGGAATAACATGTTTAGTTTCAGATTATAATTTCATTTCAAATGATCAATTTTCTTATTTATCGCCAAAAACAGATGAAAAAAAAATCAGAAGCATTCATCAGATGTCTCTAAAATAATGAATTATTTAAGAACTTTATAGAATTTTTGTAGTTTTTAAACAGAATTGTTTGTCTGTCCTCCCTAGATGATGACTTACTCCTGGTATGTGGCTAAGCTGGCTCAGCACCTCCCCGGAGTCCACTTCCCCGGCCGCTTTTGGGATCCGGTCCTCTCTGAGAAAAAGAACACCTTCGACTTCAGGCAGTTTCTGCTCCACAACACCCAGTGAGTCTCCGAGACACATGGAAGGAATAAAAGGACGTTCTGAACAGTTAAACAGAAGGAAGTTGAATAGAGCGGAGGAGAGATTGAAAGAACAAGTGGGTGATCTAATGAGGCAGAGATCAGTGGGACGGTCCACGCCGCTATGAGTGCAGAGAGAAGATAAGCCCACAGAAGTGTTGAGGCCATAAAAGAGTCTGATGAACCACAGAAGTCGTCTAATCTACTTGATTTGGTTAAACAGTGTCTGGTGCTGCTTCCTGTCCAGAAACTGGATTAGGTTTCATTATAGCCAAGCCCACCAGGGGGCAGTGTTTGCCAGGCCAACGTGTCTCCCTCCCTGAGGGGCATAACTGACCTGTGGGGTTAACACACCATGACTGTGAGCAGCACAGGAGCTACGGGACTCCAGAAGGTGTCTCCTCATTAATCACCTGGTTTTGTGTCGCCTCTGCAGCAGGGACGTGTTCGCCTGCATCGGGCTGTCTGATGGAGACTCGAGCTGGGAGCAAAGTTTCACTCGCTGGCCTTGGGGCGTGTGCGACTACCTGGTGCCTGTTCAGAAGCAGTTTCACCCAGAAGAGTGGGCCCAGCGCACTCGCGACATCTACAACTGGACTGAGCCACACAACAGGTTATAAATAACAACCTAAATGTGGTTTTTGGGAGGATTATAAATGAGAAAGGTGTAATTTTGGGGATAAAAAGTAGACAGATCCTTTAGAATCAGCCCTTCTCTATGTGGTCTTCCTTCCCCAGACTCCACAGAGCTTCCTGCTGTTCGGTTAAACTCTACTCTCATTGCTGGGATCCACCTCTTTGTGAATTCAACCAGAGCAAGACATACGGCCCCCAGCCCTTTGAAATGAGACTGAAGTTGAAAAATAATGAGTTTCTTATTGCGTTTTTGTCAACAACTGTGTCAAAACTGGAATTAGTCAAAGCTCCGTATTCTGTAGCTGCAGCCAGCAGCCCTGCTTTCACTCAGATATCCGCGGCTGAATACTGTGACATTATTTCCCGCACCCTCACGACAAGCGTGTCCGCAGATGCCCACCAGCCAAAATATTTAGCCGGGAAACCTTTTGTTAAAATATTCTTTTGAAGAAGAGGTCAAGTGTTTGCAGTCAACAAAGTGAGTGGGGGAAAAGCCAGATGTGGTTTAAGGCCGTGTCTAATGTGCTGGCTGCTATTGTTGCTCAGTCATTTAATATTTATGCAGCAAGTTTTAGTGTAATGAAACCCGCATTTAGAGTTAGTGGGAAAGTGCACAAACCAGCGCCTGAAGCAGTTCTTTTCCTGCCTGAACAGTTTCCATCCTGCGTCCTGGGAGCGTGTGGCTAATGAGGAGATGTGGCAGGCCAGGTGAGTACAAGCATTTCCACAGGAGACACATGCAGAAAGCTGCGTCACCATGCGTCCTACTGTCTCGCTAGAACATCTCCATAAAGCGGTCTTGTGCGGTAGAGCGTCTACATGTACGTTCTGTTCGCTGGCAGCATCTACATAAATCACTCCATTGTGGATCTGCACAGCCCATCCATCCAGCACTTAGCTCCCGAGCCTGCGTGCTTTGTTTCAGGATGAAGACGGCTTTCTTTCTGTTTGACCTGGCGGAGGGGACGCAGGGAGAGGGGAGAGCGCGCCTCTATGAGCTGTCTTACACCGTGAGTCTGCAGATATAATCACAGCGCACAGATGTTTAGTTTATGCACGACTGTCTTTCTCCGTTTGCTCTGCAGCTGTATAAGGAAATCGTGGCAGCCCATTCAGACTACCCCCCGAACTGGGACAAGAACTTGGCGCTGGCGTGCGAGAGGCTGCTCAGCTCAGGTCACCGAGGCTACAGTCCAGATGGCCTGCTGGCCTGCAGCATTCATCACTTCTCTCTTTACTTGGAGAAGGACCCCACTGATCCTCAGGCACCGGCCATACGCTCGGCAGTTTCTCACCTGATCAAAGAAAGAAACAAACTCCTTCAGAGCCAGAAGAAATCTCCTGGGTAGGATTGTGGAAGACCCACAGGGGGCCGGTGCTTCCAGAATAAAAGACTAACAAGTATCACCCGTCATTTAGAATTTGTTTACTTTTACTCCCAAAGAGCCTTGCTTTTAGTTATTTTAACAAGGTTCTGTGCTAATGCCTTTTTTCAGTCCAGTGCCTAATCATTTTTAGTCGTCACACACTGGTGGAATTTGTTCTCTGCATTTGACCCGTCCCTTGGGGAAACCGCGAGCTGCAGACACGGCTGTGCTCAGGAACTACTTGGAGGTTTCACCCCCCAATCAGACCCCTTAATGCCGAGTGTCGAGCAAGGAGGCATTGGGTCCCATTTTTAAAGTCATCGGTATGACCCGACCATGGATTTGAACCCACAATCTCCCAATCCCAGGGCGGACACTCATACCACTAGGCCACTGAGCTAGTTTAACTCTCACTTATAAAATGTTCAGACCTGAAAGCCTTTAAAGGAGACATATTATGCAAAACCCACCTTTTACACCTGTTTCTGCTGCTGGGTGGACCTCTGTTAGTCTAAACGTGAATAAAAACCATCTCCATTTTCTGTCAGGTTTTAGAAACAATGTACCAAAAATGAGCCGTTTGAAAAAGTTCCCGTTTGTGATGTCACAAACAAAGAAATGGACATAAAACCACCTCTCACCTCTTCAGGCTGGAGGAGCAGCAGCAGCTCTACTCCGAGCCCCTCCTGGAAATCTGAGCTTCTCCGCCTATAGCAGCCTGAGCATGGGATGGGTGGGCGTGGCCAGCTACAGCGTGTTATCTTAATGTGACAGAGCTCCGAAACGGCTCATTCTGGAAGTTACTGAAAATATCAAGAATAGAATGACTGAAATCTCTATGTGGGGAGGAATTTAGTGCAAATAACTTCGTAAACATGTTTTGTTTGCCCAGTGGGACTTTAATAATTTAGGACAAAATGTCATAATGTCTCTTAAATCAGGTGACTACAACAGAGGATCAGTTAACTTTTGACAGACCTTCATTAATGAATCTGGCCTCTTGAGTTGATTATTGTTACTTTCTTATAAACCATTAAAGCTCTAGCCAGCAAAGGTCTAATAAACATCTTCAGAAAGCCCACATAGCGATTGGTCCATCTGAGCAGAACGCCGTTAGGGGTGATTGAAGACGTTTGACTGTGCTTTAAATTGGAGCCATCGTGCCTCTTTAGGTGTTTACAGACGACCAACAGAAGGAAAGACGTTGACTGGAAAACCGTTTCTCTCGGCGTGCTCTCCGTAAACTCACCTATTCACTTGTTCTGACTTTACATCTCTTCCCTTTCGCCTCTCAAAGCTTTTATCGTGCAGATTATTTTGCCTCAGCCTCTGTTCTTGTCTCTCACATTAGGATGCCAAGGCCGAGATTGAGGGAAACCCAATTTGGGGGCAGAAATGGGGGTTTGGGATTATAGCGGCTGTTTAATCTAGGACAGACTTGCACAGTGCCGTGCCACGCAGTCCTCTCTACACATCACACGCCCGTCACACCCTCCTCTCTATCCCTCCATCAGTCTATCTTGGATGGTCCTTTAAATGTTTAAAACTAATGGATTTGATGTGTTTTTTCCTCTCTTCCTTCCTAACAGGAGGGCTATAATCCCTCGTGGATTTAAATGAAATGTGAAATGTCACAATGCCAGAGACCCTTTTAGAGACGCGCGTGTGTGTGTGTGTGTGTGTGTGTGTGTGTGTATTTTTGTGTGCACACATGCTTAAATCTCCACTCCAGCCTCTTTTTTTCTCTCTCTTCCTCTCAAAGCTGCACATAAACACGTTTGATAAACAGATTGGCACAATGAGAAGCGAAACGCTTTGATGGTTAGAAGAGCGCTCGTCCAAACTCTAGTGATGCACATAGACTTCCAACTTCCAGGAAGACTGAATTTTAGGTGGAAAACGAATCAAGAAGGACCAAACCACACTTTTCTGTTTGAACTAATTTGTTATTGTCTCAAGATCTAAAACTTCAGTCATGTGGTTTCCTTTAATATTTGTGCTAACGAGCCATAAAACCTGTAAGGTTAACCTAGCCTAGCGTAGCTGCTCTTGGATATGTCTTGAAAGTGAAGGACAGGATGTGTGTCTGGTTTTTCAGAATAAAATGTGTCCTGTCTGTTTGCAGGTCTGGTTAACAGCTGTCTACTGATTGGCTGCTGAGAGCTGATGTTTTTATGTTATAAAAAGAACAAAAAGCTGTCAAAAGATTAAAATGTTTCAATTAAAAAAAAGTTATTTTTTGATTTTTGTCCTTTTTTTGATCATCTTGGTTACAAGCCAATAATAATATGATAAATGACCCGCATTTGTACAGCGCCTCTCAGAGTAAGGACTCCAAAGCGCTTTACACTACAGTGTATCATTCATCCATTCACACACACATTCACACACTGGTGGTGATGAGCTACGATGTAGCCACAGCTGCCCTGGAGTGCACTGACAGAGGCGAGGCTGCCGAGCACAGGCGCCACCGGTCCCTCCGACCACCACCAGCAGGCAAGGTGGGTTAAGTGTCTGGCCCAAGGACACAACAGCAGAATTCTCTGTCCGGAGCCAGGATCGAACCTGCAACCTTCAGATTACTCGACAACCTGCTCAACCTGTCCCAATTTTGAATAGAATCATGTTTTTTATGTTGGCATCATTGCTGCCACCTGTTTGTTTGTTTTTTTATTTTCTTCCTGTTTACCTTCCCTTCCTCCCAGCGCCTCTCACCCTCTCTCACCACAACCCCTCATCTCCTGTTTTCTGAGAGTCAGTTGCCCACCCTAAACCAGCAAGCTGCCGAGGATTGTGGGAACCCGTGGAATTGCCGTGACCAGGGGATGCGGGCAGGGAGCCACGGCGGCTCTGGAATGTGGGGCGTCTGCGAAGATAAGAGCTGTGAGCCCATCCAGGGAGTGAGCAGGGATGCAGCAAGTAGGGAGGGAAGGGGTGAGAGGAGGGAAACAGGGACGGTAGCAAGTCTGTGAAGGGGGGATGTTACAGAAACAACACCGTAAACAGCCAGAGTGAGACGAGAGAGGGGGGGACTGGAGATGGGAAGCCAGCCTTATTCCTCTTTGCATTTCATTTACATCCTTGGCCGTATCAACCAATCGGATTGGGAGCAAAGCCCAGGGCTTAGGAGGGGAATAAAAAGACAAAATGCCTTTGCTGCTCTCATCCCTCCCTGATAATACCCCTTGTGTTTTTCTTTTCTCCCTTTCTCTCGTCTATAAGTAGATACTGTCCGAAATGCCAGCAGAAAAGCGACACCTCCGCTTGCTGTGCATCTCCGATAGACCGAGCGGGAGCAGGGGCTGAAAAGGCAGCTTTAGTCGCCGGGGCCTATCTCCACTCCTCTCTCTGTGGCTGGATGGAAGCAGGGGGAGGGAAGGATCGGGGTGTGCTGGTTGGTGTTTGGGAGAAAGAATGGAGGGTGTGAGAGGCATGATATACTGAGCTGGCAACAGATTTAGCAGAATCTTACAGTCTGGAAAACTTCGCCTGCACAATCCCTTTGGAGGCATGAGAAACCTGTTTCAGGGATGTTTAGCTGGTGCCACCCATCTGTGCGAAGGTGTCAAATGACTCCAACTAAACTTAAAACAGTTTTACTCAGAGGTTGTTTACTGGTCTTTGCTGCTTGCAGAGTCTTCCCAAACCACGAGGGTCGTGTTGTGGGTAAAATGATTCCCATTAACGCCGGCTCGTGTTGACTCAACGCCTTGACTGACTTGAGTCAGGTTTGTGTTTGCCGTCTCTCGAGTTGGGTGTTGCTGCTTTGGGGGTGTTTGCACGGCCGGCCCTGTTTATTTGTGCAGGTGTTGTGTTACCGCTTGTGTTTGGTTTACTCTGGGTGTTTTACCCGAGTTTAAAGGCCCGTGCTATTGTCCTGCTTCTCCATGCAAAGCTCTCTCTCAGCTTATCTAGGGTCCAGTCAAAACAAGAGAATCCATATCAACTATTTTCGGACATGAGAGTGTCTACACTCTAAGAAATGAATTGTTGAATTTACTTAACCAAGTTGTGTTTACTGGGTCCACTAAACTTAGGTGGTTAAGTGTGTGAGGTTCATGGCTCCTCTTCGTGAATCCCCTTCATGTCGTGGACTTGTTTCCTGGTTCTTTCATTCCCAGGGGAGTGCTCAATGAGACACACTTACCATTGCCACTAATGCACTCCAAAAATGACCATGACTCAGTAGTTTTAGTTAACTTGATTTATGGGCTGGGAAAATGATGCAATGATACAAGAGAATCAGTTTCTTGGTCCTATCCTAACTGAAAAAAATGCCAAACGTTGCAGTTCAGATCGAGCCAAACAGGAAGGCAAGCATAAAAGCAGTGTAAACATCTGAAATTTTTCAAAATAAAAGTCAAGTTCGGATTTTCAGCTGCTTAACTATTAAAAAAGGGTACTTGGTTTTCTTTTAAAACCTCCGTAGCCGAGGTAAACAGAACAGAAAATAAACCACTGACCTTTTGGGTGCATGCTGTCTTTCTTCTGGATATTTCTACGTGAAGTGCCAAAATCCCGCGTGGCATTGCAGTTCTCCCGTGATTTTGTGACCTTGTAGGACCAGCTGGGTGGAACACTTTAGCTGCTGTTTTGCATCCTTCTGATGTGAAGGGAGTTCGCAGGTAAATCACTTTATTACGGTATGCACTGCTTACGCATCGGTGGAAAGGCTGGGTTTGTTAATTTAGTCATCGTATGACCCTCTGGTCACCAAAGTAACTCCTCTGGGATCACAATCCTGCATGTTTTAGATGCTTTCCTGCTTCAACACTTCTGGATTGACTACTGGGGGTCACTAAGAGGCTTCTGCAGAACTCTGAGGAGATAATTTAACCCAAACATCTCCACTAGGATTCATGAAACCAAATACCAGATATGAGATTTAAGACGATTGGGGAATTCTGGTTCTTGTTTCTCCATCATTAACAGTTTGATCATTTCCAACCAGCCTCCATGTTTTGGTCTCTGTGGCTACAACACTGCAGTTGTGCTTTTTGTTTTCTTTTCTGGATGCGTGCAAGAGCAGCTGTGTGTCTAAATGCGACTCTGTGCACATGCCTGCAAAGGTACTTTAAATCTGCCATTTCTTAATGTGCAATAACTTTTAGTTCTTCATAGCAAGCGGAATGTTATCCGCAAGTTCCCGTTGTTATCTTGTGTACACACATTTGTTTATTAGATGCAGCCCCCTCCGCTGCAGCACTTCTGTATATCAAAGACAGCAGAGCAGAGCGTAACTGAAAATGGCTACCGTGGAGGAAGGTCTCTCTCTACTTTGACTGAGAAGAGGCAGAAAAAGCCTCGTTCTCCGCTCCCTTAGATCTATTTAAATAATTGAGGAGTAAACTGACAAATTAGACACCTTTATGGACTCCCTTGGGCTCTCTCTGGGGCCCTCCACTTTTTTTCCCGGGTACAAGCGAACGCCACTAGGCACGGGATAATATCTTGTGTGCTTTGAGAGGGAGGAGGGGGATGTGGGCCAGGAGGGGGTTTCGCCAATCAAGCGGGCCACACTTCCTCCCCCAGGTTCTAATTTTGTGCCACATTAAAGAGCTCGGCCTCCATTTAGGACACAGAGAGACATTTTCATAATTTGCCGGGTCTCTTGACTAGCTGGAGGTGCCTTCTCGCTCCTTCTCTTCACTCGGTATCTGAGCGAAAGGCCCGAGGAGGAAGACGGGAAAATTCATTCGTCTCCTTTCAGCCGACCAGCTTCAGTTCTGCACAACGTTGCTGCTAGGTGTGTGGAGCAGCTAATATTTATCTCTTTAATAACTCCCCATTAGACCTGAATATTATGCGCCGCATAAAGCCAACACTGCTTATTGTAGTTTCTATTTAGAAACAGTCTAATTCTTTCTTTGTTGGTGCATTGGCGCTGTGCTCTGCATCTGGAGATCTCCGCCTATTCAGCGGTTGTTTCTAGTAATCTGTGTTTTTGAGGTTAAAAGTTGTGGCGTCTCTTTCTGCTGACATCGCCCTTTCATGTTCAGCGTGTGTAAGCATTGATTCATTTGTGATTGGTCACATAATTCACAGTCTCGGGGGGGCATTTCTTCACTCACAGACAAGCTAATCTAAAATCCCCCCAATTTACAAATGAAAATCCCACCATCCAATTGAGCTAATAGAGGGACTTGAATGGGATAATAAGATGTGGTGTAATACTGTGTAAAAAGCCTGTAATGTTGTGTTGGTGTAAGAGCCTGTGTGACTGGGTGTTTGACTGTTTGCAGTGATTACAGGGGCCTGCGGACCTGGCGGCTGCTCCGCGGCTGGGATAGGGAGCGCTTCTCCCTGGGCAAACGAGATACGTCTGTCGGCCACATCTGCCGGAGTTGCAAAGATGTCAGGAGGGAGAAAGAGCTCCCTGTGAGCTCTCGGGTTCCCCGTCCTAGCCGGTCTTGCGGGGGTCTCTAGTTTTGCGGCGCTTGCAGATGTGCACAAACCAGGGAGGACTGAAGCAAAACGAATCTAAACAGACAAATGGAATTAGAGTGATGGGTGTCGGTGGGCTGGTTCACAGTGATAAACAAAATGATGCTGTGCGTGTGTGTGTGTGTGTGTGTGTGTGTGTGTGTGTGTGTGTGTGTGTGTGTGTGTGTGTGTCTGGGGGATTATCAGTGATTAGGTGTGTATGGCTGGGTGACTGTTTCTGGGTGTCATTGTGTTTCTGTAATTATGTGTGTATATATTTACTCTGATTCCTGTGTGTGTGTGTGTGTGTGTGTGTGTGTGTGTGTGTGTGTGTGTGTGTGTGTGTGTGTGTGTGTGTGTGTGTGTGTGTGTGTGTGTGTGTGTGTGTGTGTGTGTGTGTGTGGTTCCATATGTCTTCTCTGAAGCAACTTTACGTTTGTCCTGTGTGCCTGAACACTTCCACCTGCCTGTGCGGTCTAAACATCAAATCTCGAGGGTGGAAACTCGTCCTGAAGAGTGCTCAGCCATGTTTGTGCAGATGTGTTGTTTTCTTGTGCCAGGGCCCATGAGTGTTTATGTGCTGAGGAGGAACCAGCAGGGGGGCAGTAATCAACAGTCTGGGGCTTCCCTGCAGAAGGCTGTGGGATTAGGGTTAAACCCTGTCCTGCCAGATGGCCACAACCCAACCCCAACATCGTCCTTCAGCTCCTCAGCGATGGAAACCAGAGGTTAACCAGATCACTCTAATATGATCATTAAGATTTTTAGCATTTTAGTTCATCCCTGAATCACAGTAAGATTCAATGTAATAAAAATATCA